ATTACCTGTCGATAATTGCGTTTACCGGCATGGTGTGCTATAAGAAGTGCGTAGATATGACTTGGACGTATGATCGAATCCTCGGAAGCGTTCTCAACAAGTGCTTGAAGTTGCAAAACGGCATCGTTCTCGTCAGTAGCATAAACCCTTAAATATACTTGTCATAGAGGCATAACTGAAGCTGATGGCTACAAATGGATATAAAAATGTAAAATTGCGAATCTTATTTACCAGATGGCATTGCTTCTCCCCGAATTCCCACTGCAAGCGGCAGTGCTTCCGCGGCAACTACCGTATCCTTACACTGGGAATTCGAATCCTTCCCTTTGCAAAGCGCGACTGCACGCGATCGGTTGCGGCGAGCGCGACACGAATTTCGGGGAAAAGTACCCACACCCTTATCCATTATGTTACACCACCTTGTCAATCATTCAATTGAAAGTTCGTCTCCCTACAAACCCTACATAGCACTAGGAATATACTGAAACACTTAGTGCCCTTACTATCCATTTGGTGCCATGCAGATGAGATCAGTGCAGCTTGCAAGAACTCCCTAACGATCCCTACTTAGGATTAATTCCAGATCATAATGAATGGGCCAAGATGCTCCAGTGAGGGAGCCTACATGGAATCAAAGTGCTCCAGGTGAAACAGCCGCAGCCAATCGCGTCAAGGCTCCCCGTATCTATTAAGTACGTCTAATATGTATTCCCTATAGGGGTTATCAGCTACCGCTACTCGCCCTCAGCTACAAAATCTCGCAAAAAAAGATGCTCACACAGCTTACAAGGTTGGTGACGTGCAGGCAAAACTTTAATCTCTTTAATCTTTAAACTTTTAAAATCTCTCTAGGCAAAGGCAAAAGGTCGAGACTTGAACCCATACTCGTGCTTCCCGGGTAGTGTGTTTTTTATACCTGCTTACCCGTTTTATAAAGTTTTCCCCGTAAGTTTTTTCGAATCCGTCTATTGAGAAAGTGAGCGTATGTTGCACTTACTCTTTGATTTTTTCAAACTTGGCTAATTGTGAGAGATGTCCGGCAATTTCTTCCTTCAATGCGTTCAGTCCAGTGATAGTTGAAGTTGAAGCGGCACTGTCGGTGGCCTCTTGAAGCCCCCTGTCGATGGTTCTTGCAGCATGTTCCAGTGCCTCAGCAGCTTTTGTGAAATCGTTGAATGTTTCAACCTCCATCTGAATGGAACGATCAAATTCTCTTGATCATGTCTTTGGCTTTCTTTGGGCTTCACTTGCAAAAAGTTGGTCACTACAATCATTTTCAATGAAATACTTACAAAAGCACAAGCTTTGTAAAAGCTGGCCAGGTGGAGATGGGAGTGTGATTTTGAATAGAAAGTTTCAATTTCGCGGATGACCTGGGCATTTCCTTGCCAATCAGTTGTCTGAAAATAAAGAAAATCAAAAAATATACATTTTCCTACTCGAATTTTACTTTTTCTTCAACAAATGACTTAGTTACCTGTAAATAATTTGCTGCTAGTATGTAGATGTCCTTGTTTCTTGCCGTATTCGCGAAGAACACAATTTTCTGAGTATCACCGGACTTCAGAAGAGCTCGCATAGCCTTCAATACAAATCCCTTTGCAGTCCACTACGAAAAAAGAAAGGAAACGGAGCATAATCATGTGAACGAGGCGTGCGGTCGCGTTACGTAACGACCGGCAAGGTACGGAATGTCTGAGGGTAGCTGCCACCACTGTGCAGCTAAGGTTAGGGTTTTTCTGGAGCTTTGTGTTTGTCGTTGTCCAACTTCCAGCAGCAGGGATCGACCGTCGTACCCCATTCACTACCAGGACACTACGCGACAGTACTACATCCGTCTCTTATAACCGCTTATCGAGGTGGACTTTCTTCATGTAAGTGAATAGCATCCTGAACGATTACCCACACAATACTGACCTGTAGTTTATCACCAGCTTGGGTATATTTTTTGGCCGCGAATTGGTAATTTCCCTGTTGCACCCCGAGCTCAGCAATATTCTCCAGCAAACGTTTTCGCTCATTGTCATTCGGTGTCGTCTCTGAAAATGAATGGTGTTAAACAATACACTGCAAAGTAGTTCCATAAATGGGCATCAAACAAGGGTGGCCCTTGATTTCAGCAATTAACTGAAAAGTGAATAGTTGTGAGTGATCTCTTCTAGGTAGCTTCATCACGAAATGCCTACCAAAAAGCTCATTGAAGGAGTTTTCTGGGTTCAACCAGTATATAACGTAGCATATCCAGTGAGCTTTGAAAGGCAAAGTCCAGGGTATAAAAAATCGTGTATCCGATCTCACAGAACAGTTTGGTGTCGAACAGGTGATTTGAAAGAGAGTAGGCTGTGCTAGGAATCCAAGTCGAAGCTGCCTTTGAACTTGATCCACATTCATACTGCGGGCTCTTTCATAGGGATAGTAAAAGGCCTGTTTTCTTCGTTGCAGGCTAAACTAACTAGAATGGGACTTTTCCCTCCGGTCCTACACTATCCCTGTTATCGTTCATTGTCTTGTGGTGTTCTATGGTTTAGAGAAAAACAGCATCTTTCACGTTCAGCGAATACTCGAACGTAGGTTGCTGCGGAGTATGTTGATATGAGGGAATTCGGTTACCTTTTGTAGGTGTCATCAGCTCGGAAACCTTATCCGTCAGCCTGACGTTCCTTGTACGACACAACTCGATGGCATCATTGAACTAAATTTGTAAATTTTACTTCTGGCAATTAAAGTTGTAGCCGATTGCGAACTCGCCTCTTTTGCCATACAAAGCAGTTCAACAGCTTTTTCGTAGTTTTGGTTGTTTGAAAAGAATTCTGCTGCACGCTAAAGAACTCAATATTCAGGCATTGACACTTCACTTATTCAAATTCAATATTCAAAAAAAATACATTTCTATCCCAACTTCTACATTTTCTTCTGGGAGAAAATGGCACTAGATTCCCACGCCTGAAAACCCTTTGGGACAAACTTAGCCTCAAAGCGTTTGCATGTGTGCATGGGAACAGTCCGCGGAATACCCACAATCTGTAAATAGTTCTATGCCCGGGTGCATCCAGAAAAAGTATTGCAGACCTACAAGAAACTCGTTTCAGACGAAAGGGTAATAGCCCAGAATAGGGAGGCGGTCGTTTGGCGCGATCTCTCCCATCGCGCCGCCTATTCGACGCGGTTTTCGAGCTGTACAACTCGTCCAGTGATTGGACAACACATTGCCCATCCAGCCCGATCGATGGGCTACTACTAATAGACGCTTCATTGTGGACCTGCTTGTATTCTGCCTATCAGTGTGGCGTCATCGATCGGGCTTCTATCAGCTGGATGGTTAGTGAGTTGGTCGATCAACTGGACGAGTTGTCCAGCTCGCAAGCCGCGTCGAATGGGCGGCGCGATGGCAGGGATCGCGCCAAACGACATATACCCATTCAAATATTTTTAGAGTTGTCATGATCTCCGCCCGAATATAGCTCTCAGGTGACTTACCTTCAGGACGCTCGGATCACTTTCAGCATTCAGATCTTTTGTGACGAGATCGAGGGCACTGAATTGTTCTGTTCGGAAAGCTAAGTCGAGAGCTCGTCCTACCATTCCAGCCTAAATATTTTGATCTATGGGAAAAACCTGTTTGGAATGAAAGGTAGCCTTTTGAAATGTATGATTCATTCCTAAGCCTGTAACTGTAATTTGGGAACACCGAACAAAGCTTGAGAACTCTTAAAACTTTTCGTAATGGCTTTCATCGGCCGTAAGACAAAGATTCAAATCGAAACCTTATGATAAAGCATGACAGCTTGATGAACGTATCCTGGGATATCTTCAAAATATCGTGCTGCTTCAACAATTTCACTTCCACCTGCCATAAGACAAAGATTAGCTAGAAGATCTCGCATGTCATGCTCCTGAAAGAATCAGATTACACCATAGATAACCTTTTCGTTGGGTCTAGCCAGAAATTCGACCTTGACGAGACGGATTGCGCTATTGTAAGCATGTGCCCTTGTATAGAAGTCAACTGCTTTTGAATAGTTCTCTTCAGCTTCATAAATACGAGCAAGGTGAAAGCAGGCAGCACGGTCGTTGCTTTCCAGAGCTAATGAAGCAGCCTACAATTTGAGGAATCGCCTCGAACCATTTTAGAAGACACCCTTTACCATGCAAATCTTATTCCTATTTACCTGAATGAGAGGGTATTTTTGGGATTACCGGAAAAAGCCAATTGAGAAAAATAAAAGAGAGCATAGTCCAGACAGAGGAACGGTTTGAGGATGATGGTAGCGAAACACCGCATATGGGAAATCACAATCGCATGAAGTAGGATTTAGATCATCTGAGATGGGGTACATAGTCATGGCCCCCCATATGCTGCCCTTCAACTTGTAATGAGTAATTTTAGCAGTTAGATGGGACCATTCGGTACAGCACCGCCTAAACGATCGCAAAAGAACTTGCAGTTCCACAAGGAAGAGGGTCCTTAGCACAATCGCATGGTCACGCCCCAGAGGAGAATGGGGATGTGTGGGCAGTGTGTGATCCAATGAGAGCCATCTAATTTCCTTTCGCTGCTGCTTTCACTGTGCCACACTAGAAGCGAACACGGTAGTTCCGACACGTTTCTCGATAAAATGAATTCTGAGAGGATTTGAAAGCTGCTTTCGACGTTGGCAAATTCCCTCTCGCTTGGACATAATGTACATAAGAATCTAGGTGGTTTGTGGTGCACAGTAAATGAATGATGTAAAATTGAATGGGAGAAGTAGCATTCCCACCTCGTCCACCTTTCCCTGGGTGCATTTAATCCGTACTAGCGACAGTATGTCCTTTGCAGCACTGTAGAAAGAAATAGCACCATCGAGTTCACCAATACTTTCCAGATATCGTGCCCACCACGCATGGAGTTCCCTGAAATTCACTCATAGTTCTTTTTTGGTTTATTCAAGAGCAATCAAATGGCTGTTTACTGACGGTTCCTTTTTGCGCCTTACATAACTTTCAAGAATCTTAGGACTGTCGGCGAACATTCGAGGCACTTCGAAATGATGAGTTCCAGATTTTTCGAAGCTGAAAGAGAAATGTACTGTAACTTCTAGCAAAATACATCAATGATTTACCAACTTCTCTATAGCGGGCTCGAGGGCCCCAGCTCGTTCCAGATACTTAGCATAGTTGTAATGAGTATTTCTCAGATGAATCCTATCGTATCGAGAGGCGACTTCAAACGCCTGTAAGCTATCTTGGCAGTTCGAAAGCTACGAAAGTGATTTTATACCTGGGTGACTTACCTGATTCCAGGCATTCTGTGCTTGATGGATCTTGTTCACCATATCATATCTTCCTGCATTTACGTAAATCGCTTCTGCTTCGTCCTAAACATTTTGGGCTTCATCTGGTGGTATTGCATGTTGCGGAGATTTTTGCGACGAAACCATAGGCATGAACCGGCACTGAGTTCCAGCCTTCGTTTCCTCAGTGCGAGCAAAATCGTTTGTGAATGCGACGGTAACCGCGGAGGCGCCCCTGATGATTCATGCTTGATCGCGACAGCGTGGAGCGATTCACGCGTGCTAGGCTTACAGCTTCGCGCGGCAGGCCAGTCTGAACGCTTCTCCAGCGGCGACCGGTTGGAAATGCAGGCGGCTCATCGGTATTGGAACAATATGGTTCCAGAAGATGAGATAAAAACGACTGCACTTTACCCTAGAGATGATGGAGCGCCAACCCTGAGGGGACTGAGGCCTTGTCCCCATTCTGCGACAGAAAGTAGCCCTACTGCTCACCACCTCGGGTATCCTAGTTCGGGAGGAAAGCCGAGGATTATGGGATGAGGTGGGTGGGGGCCAGGCGATGATCGCAGACTGACATCCATCAGTATGCGGTCATCGACAACCAGAGAGTTTGCCGGGACCTACGACCAATCTGCTTCTGTCAAGGTGGGCTGACCTCGTAAGCAATCATAAAAATTATTAATTCACCAACCAACATGCCAAGCTCTACGGCCAAAGCTGCGCACTGCAATGCTTCACTCTCTCCAGCTTCCTGTGATTTTCGAAGAGCTCGAGCTCCACGGATGTTCTTCATGTTGCCCAGGCAGACAATGGCTACGTCCAAACGTCGGGTTTTCACACTCATCGACGCCATGTGCTCCCAAACGCTTTCACTGTCAACAAAACTTTGAGGTGCATTCGTGGAGAAGACATCTTACGCTCACCTTTTGATGAAACGAATTGCTTTGAAGGCTTCATCCATCTGACCTATTGTAAGATAGTAACAAAAATCCATCATTCCTTTTCGTGTCGATTCGTCACAGTTTTCGACACCAGAAAACTCCCGCAATGAACGAGCAATTAAATACCGGCCAATGGACTTTTCACCTCGAACTTCTTCCTCTTCGAATTCCATCTAGAAACCTCATTTGAAGGAAAGAGTAATGGACCAGATCATCATGGAAGTATCACCTTCTTCAAGAAGTACAGATGAGGTACCGAGACGCCGACCAAAATGTCGCAAGCGTGAGACTTTCGTGAGAGGTCCTGCATTTGGATACCATGGTCCGATGTTACGAACATGGTCAGTATCATATCATCTACCTGCAACGGAGCAATTTAAAATTTGAAGTAGTAAATGATGAAGTCCTCGGACGTTGATCAAGCCCGTCATAGAGGTGGGCCCCCATTCGACTTTCATTCAGAATTTTAGTGGCGTTTTGAATGCTCAAGTGGTTTCGGTGGCCAGCTCATGAGTAAGTCAGTGTTTTTGTCCTAATAAAAGACCTTGGGGCCAATCCAACGATTCTGGCCAAGTCAAATGCTTGTTAGCCTAGGTGGGTAGCGACGGTGGTTATCAACCCGGGATTCGAGCCATGGACCACGCATGATATGATGCGCCACATGCCACTACACTGTCTCCGCTCTGGGTTATCAAAATGCCATGTTCCAATAAGTAGATAAGCGATTGAAATGACTTAGCAACTCACAACATGCTGTGATGATGCCTGAGCATGACAAACAAGGAATCGATCATCAGTTTCATCCCAAAATATCGGTCCAGGTTCGTGCATTGGCAAGCGGAATCGCGATTGTTCGCGTCCCATTTTCCTTGAAAAGTTCACCATTACATGTTTATTTACACATGCAGTAGCAAACAGATCTTTTTTTACTGAGCAATTCCACTATCAGCATGAGAAAGACCTTAGGACATTCTATCACTTGAGAGTAGCTTCAGTTCAACAGTTCGTGAAATGATATCTGGGCAGCACACGGAAACCTCATACTCGACACCGCCAGCAGGCACAGAGTTCGCTGGGAGGAGTAGGGCACGATATTCCAGGCAGGAACCGATTTCGACATGCTTATGTAAACACCCGTACTCCCATAGTGACTGGTGCAGTTTTGGTCTTGACACAAGCCTCTGGGTTTAGTCAAATATACTTCCGCTCATGACTGGATGCCCGTTAGAAAGCGGTCGTGCAGGGAAGACGGGCAGTAGGATCGGTTTTGAGTAAGCGATTCGTCGCACGCGGCTGTCACGGACCATTCGCTTCGCCGTCACTATAGCTCTAGCGTTCTTCTTACACCTCAACCGATATTCGATTATTATTCCAGGCAAGATTCTACTGTTAGTTCTTTTGTTCCCGCTTTTCTTACTTGCTGCTGCATCCCGCTACACGCCTTCGCGCGTGGCGTCCCTCTCACCGCCACGCGACCGTTTCGATCCTACTGCACCATACCAGGCCCTGCAGCCTGAGGCTCATTTTTCGCATTTGCGTGGTAACTCCTAACAGAACGACGGGATCGCTATGTTCACTGTCTTTGGGTACGTATAAATGGGCAATGAAGAGTGCCAACCCAACCAGGATTCCCTACTCTATTCTCCCCCATTTTTCAAACTCTCGCGAATCAAACCTTGCCGCAGCTGTGACTGGCCGGCCTTGTGAACTGGCCAATTCGGCTTCTGCCTCGTACTGTTGTTGATCGGTCATCCCCAAAAGGAAAGAGAAATGGACAACCAGGTCACCTTCGGCGTCCCATACGAGAATTTTGTCGCCGATCTTTGTAGGTGTCTGGAAATGTCATTTAAAAAAACCAATTATGCCTGATAGAATGAAATGATAGCAACTACTCACAGCATAATAAGTACAGGCGATTCTATTTCCAGCCACATTCACTTTCATGGAAAGAAATCGATGAAACTCGTCCAATGCCTCCACCACATATTTTGAATGATGCTCCTGACGTGCTTCTCTGAAACTTGTAAATTACCTATTAACTTGACTGGATACCGCTCAGAAAGCAGCTGTCCCTACTTCCCGCTGATGTTGTAAATCCTCAAGAATCCAGACGATGTCGCTACAGCCAACCAGTGACGGCTTGAATGAAATTGTATTGGATCACCTTCCATTTCGGGAAGTGAGAGAATCTGGCGGACGGTTCCCTGAAAAACGGATCTTCTGCCTCATGCCTTCCCGGATCTCGAATCACACCAGGAAAGAGCTGTTGATGGTGATGCTACCGCAAATTGCTCTGTAGAATTTACCCAGGGTAAGTAACCCTTCTCTTATAAACTCCCTGAACTTTGCTCCTGAATTTTGGCAGCTCCCCTACAACTTCTTCAAGTATCTTCAGGGAAAACGAATGGGAAGCTACATACAGCATGATCACGAATTAGATTGCTTCCTAGCTCGGATCGAAACTTACTCTGGCAAGCCTGTCCCATTTATCCGGAATCGAATGACCATGGCTTTTCTTTGACCCTGATTAGTTTAGCTTACAACTGAGTGCCCTCGAAAAGATCGAATAGATGGATGGTGTTACAGAAGCGGTTCGTTCCCTAGGCTTTTCACTCTGAGTCATGACAACTAAAGGAACTCGATTGCTTGAAAGGTAGGTCCTCAGCCAACCGAGTAGCCGCGCAGCAGCAAGCTGTCTAAAGGCTTCATAGTAGCGAAATCTCAAGGCTAATGAAAAATAG